AGCGCCCGGTCCGGTGACGACCTTCCGCTTGCACTGCCTGCCTCGAATTCCCCTTGCTCTAGTCTCCCCAGGCTCCTGCTTCAGCTCTGGCCCACTTGTCTCGTTCTCATTGGAGATACTACTGTTCGTGGTGTCAAGCCATTGGGCCTTGAAATCTCCGTGTTCGCTGCCCATTGGATGTTTTACCTTTTGTTTACTTCACGTCCTGCCACGCATCCTCGTGCTTGACGCTCTTTAACGTCGTCATTCTTGTTTAAGCAGCACCGCACGTGCACTCTGGTATTTCTCCTTTTGTTTTTTTTTTTCCGTGACGCGCACTTTTCGAAGGCGCGCACTTTGAACGCGCACCACACATCACATGTGGTGGCTCAACTAAAAATTACCTTTAGACATAAATTGAAAGCAAAAAAACAGTTCTTCTCTCTTTCTTTTTAGGTTTGAAGGTCATATTTATTTGAAACACTCGACAATGAAAATCACGTCTCAATATAGACGAAATTGACGATTCTGCGAAATTTGTAATTTTTCTTGTAATGTTTAGCAGCTTTAGAGGTCTCATAATATTATTTTCGCAAAACATACCTTTTGTGTAGTTAGTATTCATTACTCAGACATTCATAGAAATTGCAGTAATAGAAAAAATGCAAATATATACATCTTGGCTAAGTTCATGAAGGCGTGGTAGACGAAGAAAGTGCTTAACAGCGCAAACGACAAGAAGGGAAAGAAGAGACGAGAACAGAGCCCTGAACAACAATCAAAGTTTACTGCAAACTAACTGCAATATATAGAAAACAGAACCTGCACACAACCACGCACCATAAGCAGAATTGCATACATGCACCATACGGCCTACCTTATCAACAACCGGTCATATAAGTGGACCCCAGATAACTAACTTCATAGGAGTTAAGAAAAATTGAGGGTACGCTAACACAAGACGCACCAGTTGTTGAATATAGACGGCTTCACTAATCTCGTGCTCGCGCCGATTTTATATCCCCCGTGATCAAACACTTGTCAAGAATTGGCTGACAACAAGACCTATTACAATGGTCTGCCAAGTGGCTGAGAAGGAAACCTTTTAGAAAGTTAGCGTGCTCCCTGAACCGATCATTCATGCATCGCGCTGTTTGGCCAATGTCCACAAGTAAATACTATCTTGTAGAAAATCGCTAAAACACATTCAACATGGCACATAGCGTGTTTCTTAGTGCCTGCTTTTTTCTTAGGTCCTTCACTGTTGACCCTGTGACATAGGCCAGCGAGCTTGTCGCGTGCGCAGAACGCAACACTTACACTATTTTCTAGCGTTAGGTACAATGGCCTCGCTGAGCCAAATTCGCGTGAAACTGGTCTGCGCACGCGCGATGATGCTCCGCCGCTGCCGTGCGCAATTCGATGCGCTGCGCAGACGATCAGTGGTGTCACGCACCGGAACCGGCACCTTTTCCAGCGACCTTCTTTAGCCTATGGGAAAATTCGTGTACGTAGGGAATAACAGCCTTACTAGAATGAGGCTTGTTGAGTTAGCTGTTTCTTTGTGTGTTATCAGGCAATCTTAATCGTGATATTTTTTCGACGTGAGTTCCGAGATCCGCTTCCGCACCACGATCAAACGCTAAGTCGACCACGAAAATACAAGGCCCTTGAACGCCACGAGAAGTTCCACTGCCGGTCAGCAGAGCCCATGATTAGGGACGTCTGCATTTTTTAGGGATGAAGCTCCTTAGACCTGGCCTCTTCTTCTGTTGTGGTCTTGGCATGCAATCGCTGCTATAAATGAAACATATGTGAGACTAAAAAAGTTTTTACAATGAACAGTAAGGTAGAAGATCGCTGACACTGGTGAAAATAGTCTATCCAGAAGAGTTATCTCTTGTAAAATGTGCGTAAATGGCGAGGCTTTTCAAAGAAACCTAGCACACAAAGGCACACGTCGAGAACTATACATCCCTCATTAATTTCTTATATTTTCAATTATTCCGTATATAATTTGTGATATTAAAATGGTGCAGAGTACTGAGCAGTCTAAATCGTTAACCACGTTTTCTAAACACATATGTTTTGCGGACCTCTGCCAGCAGCAGTGGGATGGCCTTTGCTCTCCCATAGAAGAGTACAACACTCTGAATAATTAAGCACTTCCACTATACACACATCTCGGCAACAGTAAGATGGCGCGTTCTGGTATTAGCTTTTGTGGCATAGTCTACGTTCTAGCAATTAAATAAATCCTTCTTGAATTGCCTAATACAACCGGAAGGTGAAATATATTTACACACACACACACACATATATATATATATATATATATAATATATATATATATATATATATATATATATATATATATTATATATATATATATATATATATATATATATATATATATATATATATATATATATTATATATATATATATATATATAAATTCACTGATGTAGCTCGACTTACATTACATGGGTCGATGCTCGGGTAACGCATGGTTACTTACAGATACGATACCAAGAGCTTCACTGACTGGCCATTATTCACTTCATGGAGATGGCGCGGTCTCCGTTTTCAGGAGTTGAAGCTCGCCAACGCTAGTAACAAACTCGGGCTAAGCAGAGGTGAAGCACGCTGGTCGTAATTATCGCATGGGAGTCGCATTCCAAATCTTGGTCATACGGCCGCTGGCCTACCGATGCCAACCAGGTGGTTGGTTCATGACACCAAACTTCCACTACGCCACTTTTAAACAACTTCTGTTGTCAACAGAAGATGTCCATTTTCGGTCATTTGGTTCAGTAGTCAATTCCGCTTCGTGTGCGTGCTTCGCGTCTATCACTTCGTGTCTGCCCTTTTGGTCTATGCTTCACTTCCGGTTACAACCGTGCTAAGGTAAGCACCTGAAGAACCTCGGTAAAAAATGTCGACATCAAGGGCCCGATGCCCTGACGCAAGAAAGTATGTGGAATTGGTCCAAGAAGGCACTTCTTATCATGCGAATCGCAGCGTTTGCTAGAAAAGAGCTGATGGTTAGGAGGTTGGCTGCAAGTGAGTGCCGGCTGGGTGCGTGAATTCTGCAGCGATTTCTGTCGACAGGGATATAGAATGTATATCACGCTGCAGGAACTCATCTACACGCAAGAACCCATCTTGGCAGTGCTGAGCTACCCCACTTCTATCGTCGGCAGTATTTATTATGACCCAGTAATATTGAAAAACCTGGGGAGCTTACTAAAGTACTACTACAATCTGACCTGTAAGCACGCATATAGCAGTAATACAGGCCATTTTGTGTTATGTTCTGCAAAGAGAAAGATTTAAGATGCAAGCCTTTCCGAATGATTCATATACGCTTAACGCAAGTTGTACTCTCATATTATAGATCTCTGCTATTCCGAGCTGAGCTTGTCAGCACGCATGCGGCGTTAAATTTGAAACTTTGACACATCTCACTTGTGCAGAAACTGCCCGCATGTAAAGGACCCGAGGTGCTTCCTTGTAGTACAGAATTAGCATTTCATTGCTTACGGGATTTCAGGTTCTATATAAGCTATACTTGTGGGTCTAGAAACGTTATGCGGGAACCAGTAATGAATACACCAATAACACGAGCAAAAGCTTGAACCGGCAAATCAGTCGTTACTTTAGGTTTAATTAAGCCTTTTCGCATCTCACACAACGTAAGAATGTCCATTTGCTGATATTTATAAGCTCTCCTGTGGGCATCGTATGCGCACGGCAGGGTGCACACTTACGTAATTAAGAATAAACGACTTTAGTGGTGGCAAAAGCTGTGAAAAACAATGCAGCTATAGCAATAATAGGCATAGGATGTTGATTACGCTAGAAATCAATCGTTACACTAAGAACAAGCTTACAGTGTACACACTATTCTTGTAAGAAACAATTATTTTGCAGAAACAAAGGTGATAGCGACCGAACAGTAACGTCATCGCACGAACTGCTAACCATGGCAACCCAATGACAAATTTATTTAAAATTTTGATTTTTGAGATCCATTTGCACACAATACATCTTTATTTTAGGCAGCTAAATGTTTTTCACTTGAACTCGAATGCAGCTGAAGGTTGTTTTTTCTTCAGATAATTTGGCTTTTTTCTTTCTTTCTTTACGATTTCAATCGTACTTGCAGCCGGCCGTCAAGCACCACGAGGACACGGATGTTGTGGATGAAGACAAACTTGTAGCGAATCTTGTCCAGAATCCGGTGACACCTTCGCCAATTCCACAGGCGTTGACAAACCAGCCTTCCAATCACAGACCCAGTTGCAGGCTAAGCAGCAACCAAAGATGCCGTCCCAGGTTCCAGACAGCACGCAGCCGGCCATGGTGGTGTACCGCCTCCACAAGGCTTACGGTTACCTTGAAGGCCACATTGGGCTACAGGGTGAACATCGTTCTTTAATTGAAACTTGGTGCCACGAACTTCAGCTTGCACTGAGCGCTCAGCTGTTAACACAATTAATGTATCGGATGCAACAACGTTCGGTTTCAAACGCCGCTCACACAAAAGCTATTGTAATTGCTAAGTACCGCCCAAAAAATTGTGTGCGAAAGACTGTAGAACATACAAAAAGAAGCAGAAATTGTCACGTTTTGGTCAAGGAGTTTTCGTAATTGTCTTACGACTTGAACCAACTCAGAGCTAAACTTATGAGTCAACGAGTTTATCTTTGGGGCTTATCTTGCTGCATCGCCATTGAAACTTGCAACGTTGCAATTAGAACTGCAGGTTGAATAAAATTTTTATAAGTGTTTATTAAGCAAGAAGTTCGTGAACACTGTTTGCCATTGCACGTGACTTGTGTCAGGCAACGTGCACGCGAGGTTATAAAATTTTTTTCATTAGACACACTTACTCGCCGCAATTGCAAGGTCAGGGTGCTACGCATTGAACAAGGGAACAAATAGTATGGATATGCATTCAATGTTCACGAGGACTGCTGCATGAAACCGATTTCAAACGTTGTCTGCGCTGATGCAGGGCCTGAGCTTCAGCGTGCGCTCGGGCGAGTGCTTCGGCCTTCTCGGAGTCAATGGTGCTGGAAAGACCACCACCTTCAAGATACTGACGGGCGAAATCCTGCCGCAGGAGGGTGATGCATACATTGGTGGCGTGTCCGTCGTGCGTAATGTGTACGAGGTAGGTTGATGACGCTGGGCATCTGGCTGCACATAGCTGCACAATGTCGCGTATAGTCGCGTCAAAGGTGAACTCCGGCAATTTTTGACAAAGTCGTAGTCGCAGTGATTCTTCGTTCCTGAGACGCTCCTGTCACAGGCCTGATAGTAGAAATACTCGGTAAGTTTAACAATAGGTTCAAGTAAGCATGAAAACACCCCACCAAAAGGAAACTTAACCAAGCAGTACTTTCTTCTTGTGTCGTAAAATAGGGTAAAAAGTGGAACTATCGCAACATGCCGCAGCGCGGAGTATGAAATCTTTGAAAGCGGCGTAGAGCAAACGCTCAACGGAAAGGTGACCAAGCCGTAACACACGTACCACTATACCGTATGGTTAAGTAGCGCGTTTTTAGGGGCAAAGGTCCTTATATCGGCGCCCGTTCGTCCCTCGTAGTCGTAGTAGTAGTGTGTAACCAGTCTTACATTTTGACCTCCAAGGTGGTGCCGGTGGGGATTTCTTCTGTGCGTTGTTGAACAATGAAAAATTCGCAGCGTGCGCGTTAACTGAAAGCCGAATTCTCCGGTCTTTCATTCCCCTTAGCAGCCATTGGCATGTACATTGAGCACTATCTGACAAGAAGAAGTTGATACGTTATACTCGCTGGGCGTAACCTGCTTGGTTTTAGAAAGGTTAGCGAGCGTTGGGGCCGCAGTGCCAAGAATACAGTGAGCTAGTATATACCTCGAACTCGAGGTGGTTAAAGGTGGGAAGTAGACACGAAGCGCAAGCCGTAAGAAAGTGTGTGTGTGCCTCCTCTCGTTCAGTCCTTCGAATGTCCGCTGGAAGGCAGTGCTTCTATATGAGGAATATATGACGAAAATATGCGAGATGGTGGTACTAGGAGTGTTCAATAGGTGGACGAACGGACACATAGATAGGTTCATGGACGGACGCACGGATGGCTGCACGGACGGATGGACGCATGGACGGACGCAGGAGCGGATGCATGAACGAACGCATGTACGGACGCACAGATGGACGTTCGGATGCACGAACAGACGCGCGCACGGACGGGCGGATGGACGCACGGGCGGCAACACAAACGCACGCATGGACGGACGGAGCAAGAACGAATGTACGGACGGATACTTCGCCCCACTCTCTATCATTCACTCTGTGGATATGCTGTCATTTTTACAGAGACAAAAGAGGAAAAGACACGACATTCGCCCACAAGTGTGGTGTCTTTCTTGTCCATTTTGTCCCATAAAGAAGTGGGCTTCTAAACCATATGGTATAATGATCAGTTACCAACTAGCGCAGCTCTCAACCTTATTGAATTAGACGTACCAATTAGACGTCGGACAAGGTCAACTGAGATTCGGACACATTTAGTGACCAACTGGAATCGCCATTCCTCTTCGATAAAGTATACCTGCCTCAGTTATGGGCCTCTTCTGGTTGTAGTATCCGTCGCTAGATGACATTGCTGCCCAGGCAATCCTAAAGGCCCAATTGTGTAGCCGCAGCGGTAAAAGCCAGATCTAAAACTTGGGGGATGGGAAAAAGCTGTTTAGGATCGCTAGGGGAAGAATGCCTAAGCTTGCAGATAATTGGCATTTAACTCTGCATTGGTAGGGTAATGAAACATAAAGCATGCCAGTACAAGCCGCGGTAATCGTTTCGTGCGAGTGCTTTGCGACTGCTGACTGCCAAAGGTATTCATGCGTCGCCCACAGTGCGACACTTGGCGCTAATCGCAAGCACACTGCGATTGCGCGGAAATTAGCACGGCCAACCAACTAAGCGCGGACCAAACACGTGTGCTTGTTTGCCTGCAGAATGTGGACGCTTTAGTGGTACAGTCGGTTCCATCACTCCGTCGCTTGGTCTGAATGAATTGACACACACAATGTTGCCCAAGCATTGTGAGAAGCAGGTGGCAGAATCAGGGCGTTGAATATAATTAATTTGCACAGAATGTGCGCATCTATCCAGTGTGTAAACCCTGCACGGTGCTCGAGTGCTGACTATAGTAGGTTGGAGGATCAAATCCCGTGATAATTTTACGAATGGGCAGCCGAGCTTTCATTAAAGTTTACCATTCTACATAAAGGCCTAAATTCTGCCGAAGTGGGATTCTTGCGATGAATAAATGAGCATAACTTGGATGGTTAGTTTATTCCGGTGATAAAAATATAAAACAGCTATTTAACCCAGGCGACAGAAAAGAAGATACACGGCGCTGAACATGCAACGTGAACTTGGAGTTGCAATGTCTGCGCCGTGGGGTCTCTTCTTGCCTGTCTCCTGTGTTGAGGTACGGTTGAAATTTTATATGAAACCCATTGACTCGCCCAATCTGCTTGCCTTCAGTTCGTGTCCTTCGTTTGTACACCATGTATAAAAAATGAACTATAGGAGATAAAGATGCCAAGGAGGGTAATAGCCGGGTCGCGTGTTCAGCAGATATGATGCAGAATGCTAAGGCTATTGATAGGTCGGCTTGCCCTTCAATAAATGTTCACTTTCCTAAGTGACTCACGCTGGCAAACTAGGCCCGATTTCACCGTCATGGCTGCAAGCGGCACACTCCCAGGGTGTGCATGCAAAGTTTATACCCCTCTTCCCCGAACACACTAAGTGGACCAGGGGACGACTGCCACTGTAGGCACAATGAATAAGAGCATAGGGTGCGTAGTCCATAGGTTCCAGCTCAGTCCACAAGCAAGTCGTTCTTTGCACTTGAACAGCTGTAGCACATTACGGAATACAAAAAAAGGCCTGAGCTGACCGACACAGAGGACAGAGCACTAATGGCCAAGTGACAACTTGCCACCCAGCCGGTGGAGAGTTGTCTCTTCTCCCACATGTTTTCCACATCTTTGTCACAACCTATAAAATTCACCTCACACAGTACCGTTAACACCCCTGTAAAATCATTTATTTCATTATTTGTGGTTTTCATCAGGGTTTCGTCAAAAAAACATAGCTGATACCTATTCCTAGGAATCGGTATAACACAAAAGTGAGACATGTCATCACAGAGGTTGTTAAGCGTTTATTGTGCATTATTTCGCTAAGTGGTGAATGAATGAATGCTACAGCAACGAATCGCGAAGTCCCACGGAGAATGGCCAAGGAGCTTGAAATTCGCAGCGCTCTCCTCCACAAAAAGCACTCATGAAATGAGCATGCACAGGGCGAACGCGCACAACCAGCTTTCGCAGATCGACACTTGAAGCACGTTGTTCAAACAGAAAGAAGAGACGCACGAAACGAACACACAATTTTACACAGAACAAGCGCGAATAACTGCCTCAATTCGTGATTCTTCGTGTTGGAGCAGCGTGCTCTTTCGTAAATGCGGCCACGGCAGCAAAAAAAAAGTGACCTTTGTGTCCTCCCGAATCACGAGTGCTGGACAGACCACGCTCTGTGAAGGCGGGGCGCTCAACGAAATGCAAGAGGTGACAAGCTTAGCCAACACCACCTGGACTATTGACAAGGCCCCTCCAGGGAGAGCGTGACGTCACGATAGTTGCCCACCTGCCCCTGGCCGTCGTCGCCACTCGTTCTCGTTATATCTGCTGTGGGCACTTATTGAAAACCGGTGTTTCTTTTTTTGTTCTTTTTTTGTTCCTGCGCGGTCTGCCTTTGTTTACGCCTGCCTTTACACTTTAGTGATCAAACTGTAATAGTCAGAAATGCATTTGTAGAAGTGGTTTTATTAGGACGAAAGGCTAAAACCGTCCTCCTCATTTCTTGTTCAAGGTTTTGATTTTTCTGTCAGCTGCCTGTTTTTGTGTGGTGCTTTGGATAGTGTCATTTCGAAGTCTACAAATGTTGTTCAGAGCGACATTTGTTGCAACACGCACTACATGCCGCACAATAGTCTCAGAGGTATGGCCATTTTCACAAGTCTCTAGCTCAACATCTCCTAGCAGTGATGTGGTATTGGAGCTTACAATGCCACGTTGGTTGTTCGACGCGAGGAACGCCTTTGCATTTTCTCCCTTGGTGAGCTTTTCGACAACAAGCGTTGTCACCAGCACCATGTGTGCACAGTACATGGCTGCGGAAACTTTAAGCTTCGTCTTGACAAGTTGTCAATCAATGTGTTACCTTCCACATCTATGTTCCTGCTCTCCAGGACGAGCACGCTGCTGCAAAATGCGCATGACAGCTTCTTCAGAGCTGAATGAGCACAATATTCAGCAATATAAGCAACGACCTCCATGTCATGCTTTGGGTTGGAAATTTCATCATTTGAAATGTGAACAGAGAAGTTATGTTGCGATACTTCTTTGTCACTTTCGCTGCTGATGTCTGGCTGCGGAAGCATTAGCAGCTTTTGCAGACGAATTTTCTTTTCGGACTCCAGAAGCTGCCTCACCGAAACATGATATTGTGCACCAGCAAGCTGATGGTAGCGACCGAAGCGATCTTCAAGAGTGTCAGTTTGAAATTTTCCCAGCAAAACATACTTGAACTTCAGTTCTTCTAAACAGTACCGCGATAGCTCAACAAGGAAGTAGCAAGTGAGTCTCAACGCAGAATGTGTTTCCCTTGTCAAGCAGCCATGGCTCATGTTGACGCTGCTCCAAGCATCCAGCCAGTCTACCATGCCACTAAGCAAAACCAGCAGTTGATCCACCGTAGAATTCACTGGATTTTGAAGGGTGTCGTTCAGTCGGCGACCTTTCGAAGGGGTCTTCACGTTGACGATTTTCCACCACGTCGATATGATGTTTATGAAGAGAGCTGTTGAACTGGCACATGTGGTTTCAAGGGCATCGCCACGCGTTTCAAGTGCGTTTGATACAAAGGGATTATTGACATTTAACACCAACTTTACATTTTGTCTCTCCATAGGTGTTGGATTGATTGCCTTGGAATTTAGCTTGTAGCCAAGCTTGAGAAGCAATGTCTGCTCCAGTGCATACAGCTGCCGTATGGCTTCAAATGATGCTGCTTTCATTCTGGGCCGCCCGTCGGGCAATATTCCTGACAGCCTCACTTCAGGAAAGTAAAAGCATATTCCTTCGTTTTTTATTCATCCAGTTGTTCTTGATGCATTTCAGTATGTGCACAAGGTCTACGACATAAAACAGAGGCCGATTGTTGTCCGCTGGATGAGGATATACAATGTTTACTTCCTGTTTCTCTGAGAAAAACGACATCATATTCTGGTTGAGGGAATTGTTCTCGGTAATTACAGCAATGACCCTGAGGCCCATAGATTCCACTTCTAAAATTACTTTCTTTTCTTGCAGAACTCATGTAGGATTTTGGCGGTCATTTTAGCAACAGGAAGAATGTGAAGCACATCTTTGTTTGATGACAAGAGCGACTGAAGCATGAAAACATGAGCGGTTGTGGTTGCCTCTTGAGAATTGGCTGCAGATCCAACTATGCTGCCGCCTATAATCGAAGTATGGCTTGATATGAATTTCATCAACCATTAGCGTCACCGTCTTTTCGTGCGGCTGCATGCACATCACTCTTTCTCGAATGTAGGAGAGGAAGTTCGCTTCGTTTTGCTCCTTCAGTGGATCGCCTCCATACTTGGAACAAACACGGCGCAGGGTTGAAGGATAGGGTAAAGTCAACGTCGACGCTGATTTGGCAAAGTTATAGGCGTGCGGAGATATGGAGTGCAGGATGCTAGAAACAATAATGTTTCAGCACTGTAGCGACGAATGGGGGCAGCGATTGCGAGAGCTATTTGCTCATGTAGCAAACGAAACAAAGCACTGTGTTCTTCGGTCGCGTCACTGTCTTGGGACAGTTCATTTAATAAGGAGCCGATATTCTGCAACACTGACGCTGTTTTCGACGGACTTGCAACTTCAGGCGTCTCAGTCATGTGGTTTTCCAGCTGCTGGAGCAGTGAGGACAACGTCCGGATGTCGCGCACTGCGTCTGGAACTGCGCCTCCGCAAGGTAATGAAATCAGCTTGATCATACCTGCTGAGACTGCAAGTGAGAGATCAGCAAGCACAGTGACGGAAAAACTCACGTCGGTGAAGGATTATCTTCGATGCGGAGAAACATCACACAACGATCGTTGGCCTTGATGGTCCAGAAATCATTACTGCATACAGCAGAAAGCTTGCCTCTTAAGTGTTCGAAAGAGGACACAGCATTTCTCTCCTCTTCGCTTTTTTTGCGCATATAGAGTCCTTAATCGCTTTGCTCAAGGCCTCGTCTTCCATTCGAGCTCGTTTCGAGACAGGATATTCTGGACGATTGCGATTCGTGCTCAGGTAGGACGGACAGTTCGGAAACACCGATGGTATAGCATCTGACACTAGGCGCACCCTCTCGCTATCGACTGTCAATGTCCGTCCCGACGCTGCGTCGAAATGTGACAGCTTTGTGAGGAAGTCAGCCTCGAGGAAGTGGAGTTCACAGACCTGCGCCAAGCATAACAGTGATTTCATTACTTTCATACGAAACGGGCTAATGGGAACTTTGACACGAGCCTGAGTGTTTCTGTTCTATTTTTCCGCACTGCCCTACCTGAAGTGCGACAAAACTACCATCACCACTCACGATACTCGCTCCATTCAACAGTAACAGAGCCAGAACGCCAGTAATGCGATAGAGCCGGTAAGACAACAAACTTCATCAGTTTCTCACCTTGGAGTGTATGCTTGGTGTGAAATACTTTCGCGGAATGGCTTTTATCCAAGACTTCTTCCGAGCTTCATCCTTTGGGAATGCGAAAACACGCACTTTGGGACCACTGTCATAATTACTGCGGCACCCGGGAACACAACAACGTCCCATGTCGCACTGATCGATGTGTAATCACATACTCACAAATACAACACCAATAAAATAGGACACGTGGAAACGGACGAAGACTCAGAGCAGTGCGATGCAGCACCAAGCCTAACGCAGTCTAACCAGCGAAGCAGGTAGCGATGAAAGGCAAACCTGTCGTGGCTTGTCCGCCGTTCGGGGTAAAAAAGTGCGTGGGGTGACCAACACCACCACCTGAGCGACGCGTCCTCGGCCATTGGACAGTCGGTGATATGTCCGGGGAGGGGTTGAGGCTGCCACCCAGGATCCGGCGAATGACGACTCTTGCGACGCGTCTCACGAACAAGTAAAAGATGCGTTTAATTTACATATTTGCAAGAGAAGTACATTGCAACGAGAGCGTACAGACGCGCCTTTCCATCACAAGGGCCCAGAGCACACTCGAGACGAGCGGGCCAGCGAAGTCCAGAGAGAGAGCAAAGTGCACCCCCGACACGCTCCTTTTATAGCCGTCCATGCACGCGCTAGACGCCGACTGTGTGTCCCAGTGACGCTGATGTGCATTTCCTGCGGCGCACACAGACGCCTCCCGCGTTCCCGCAGGACGCGGACAGCGTTTGACCGTTACACCGATGAGCGTCCCTTGCAAGCTACCTCCTTGCTGTGCCGGTCATAACATCGAACAACTAGCGGGACGTATGCCATCTGGAGAGAGGGGTATGAACGGGCCTTGTGAATAGTCTAGGTGGTGTTGGCTTAGCGCGCCCAACGCGAGCGCGTCGCACTACTGACGACGACAACTCGCCGAAGTTAGAGCTCCAAGGTCTACTAAAGGGCTTCCCATTAGCAAGCTTGACAACGTACGTTCTGTAGCCGAGTGGTTAGCGTCGTACGCTGCAAATCGTATAATCGCTGGTTTGATGCTCCGCAACAGTGCCTTGTGCTCTCCTTTTTATTTTAGGAGAGATGCTCCTTAAAGCGTGGGGTAAGCGTCCCATCGTAATCGTATGTAGCCACCTCTCGTTAGTTCTTGATTCGGCCGTAGTGGGCGGTACTTGTACATTGAACGAAATGCATATGCGCTGAAAAATGAAAATGGTACGATACTAAAGGATGTTACTTGTAATATGATAAATATTAAAAATCGCAGCATATCCATGAAATGAGTGATGATGAGTGGGGCGAAGCGTCCATCAGTCCGTCCGCACTTCCTTTCGCGCTTTCTTCCGCGCTTCCGTCCGGCCATGCATCCATCCCTTCATCCGTACGTCCGTCCATTCGTGCATCCGTCCATGCGTCTGTGCGTCCATACATCCGTCTATCCGTGGGACCGTTCATCCTCTCGTGCGTTCATCCGTGCGTTCATCTGTGCGTCCGTCCATCCATCCGTCCAAGCCTCAAGCTCTGTGTTCGTCCATGCGTCCATTCGTCCGTTCATGCGTCCATCCATCCTCTCGCGCATACATCCATGCGTCCGTCCGTTCATGAATTCGTACATGCGTCCGTTCATTCTTCCTTGTATGCGTCAGAAACACAGACAGCCAGACGACGGATGGACGCGGCCAGTGGATGATTCATGGTTTGCCGAAAAAAGTATCATACGCGCAAGGCGCGATGTGCGAGCGCACCTTGCGCCCTATGTGCGAGCGCGCGAGAAAACAGCAATGACGTTACACGAAGACGCTAGCGATCGCGTGTTTGTCGGCGGCGCCCTACGCTAGGGGGCGTGGTGTAGCAAAGCAAAAGCTGTTTTGGCGCACGTGCGTGTTGAGAAGGTCGGCGGATGGGCCAAGTTGCAGAGCGGCGTGCGCGCAAGGCGGCGGTGGCTCGCGCTCGAAGACAGAATCCCAATGTGCGACCGCGTGAGGCAGAAGCGTGCCGTGAAGCTGTGAGGCAGTGCCGACAAGATCCCAGCGTACGACAGCGGGAGGTCGAAGCGACGCGGCAGCGGCGTGCAGATCCAGCTTCGCCCCACTCTCTATCATTCATCCCGTGGATATGCTGTCATTTCTTTTTTGAAATGCGTCAGTACATTATTTTTATAACATCACCTTTATGACAGAAACACGCCAGTGGAGGGACCTAGGGATTACATATTTTTGTGTTAACAAAAACAAGCTCTCCAAAGTTCCTTCCTTCACTTTTATCAAGTTTTTATTTACACCTTTGTTTTAGTAAAACTATTACTCGAGAATAGCCTACGCCACTTGATGCGTTATTTTGTTTTCTTTGCACTAAGGCGCAGCACGCTTGCAGTAATTTATTATTCTGGGCACATACTTCGCAACTATCGTTGAACAGCGCTATGCAGATGCACGTTCAAAAATTCGGGTATGTGCGTCAAAGTCACTCACGCTGTTTCTCGTCCCAACAGTTTCAGAGCCACCTCGGCTACTGCCCGCAAAGCAACGCCCTGCTGGATGCTCTGACAGGCATCGAGACATTGATGCTGTACATCCGGCTGCGCGGGATTCAGATCACCATAGAATACGTGGAGGCGTTGCTGGAGATTTTCAATCTAAATGACATCGGAGATCATCTAGTCGGCACGTATAGGTAGGCACAATTTTCGCAAATTACGGCACTAGATTGTCTTATACTTACACCACGTGGTCGAGTACTCACGCTCTTAGAAAGAAATGAAAACTTGGGCGTTGCTTGAGCTTCAACATCAAGAGCAGAATGCCACAGCGTAACTGGGCCCAGTGCTGATCGCTTTCAGTTGCACCACAAGGAAAGGAACATTTGTGCTCGTAACATATTCTGTTTGAAGGTAAATGCAACTGCAAGTGGCGCTGCGAAATTTCCACTAAACTGAATCCTTCATTTTTTTTAAAATTAAAGTGCCGCTACACGTTTGTATGAGGTGGCGAGTGCACCTGCCGAGTTACACACTCTGTGCTGGGTTCGCTGGTGTAAACCACCCACTCGCTGCGCAAGTCAAATATTTAGACACCTTGAAGTTTTGCTACAATTCTCACATGCAATATATTACATGCGTTAAGGAGACTCCTCTCTCTAAATTCTTATAGCGCTTTCTTACGAAAATGACATTAGCCCTGCAATGGTAGAACATTTGCCTGCTATGCAGCATGCCCGGTTTCTATGTTCACTCAGACCGAAGATCGTATATTAGTTATTTGCCTGGATGTTCAATTCTTACGGTCGTAAAATGCCAATTTTCGCCTCACAATCAATGAAGGCGCCGCCGACTGCGATGAACACACCTGGGTTTCGGTGAAACAAGCTGTTTAACGCTGCCGCGTTAAAAAGAATTGGCGTAAACTTAAGATTATACTGTTCAGCTAATCATGACACTGTCTGTTTTCTTCCTACAAGTTTCTTCTGCGACGCTTTTTTCTATCTGCCCGTCACAACACTAAATATCTCGTTCATTTCTCTGCCACTGGCCCTTTACCTGAACTTCATTTTTACTGCGCATACATATTCAATTGTAATTTCCACTTCTGCCACTCTGTTTCGTTAATTAGGGAGAAGCGAAGCTTACTTTCAGCCAAGTCAATGTGCGTCACCTTTAATTGGGAAAAAGTAGGTCAGTATGCCGGCCAAATTAGGGCTGTGATCAAAGTGCCTATTTGGAGTTGGTAGCAAGACATGATGTGTTGGAACAAATTTGGGCCATCCTGTTCTGTAATGAATGATACAGCTTGCCAACTATTCAGGGGAAATTTGTAATTCCTTTGTGTAAGCCGCAGGAATGTCTGAAAATTGAATTAGTCCAATATTTACAGCTACTAAATTTGGCGCCATAGGTCACCAATGAGTCTACTAGTGGCATAAAGTAAAACGCGAACAGCCGAGTGCGTGGATATGAAGCGAATATACAGCTGCGTAGGTTCGCGTGTCGCCTTACGGAAGCATTGTGAGCCCTTCTATGTTTGCAAGAGGCATAGTTTATGGGGTAGTGGAAGCCCAACAACTGAACTGGCTGTATACCTTCAAGGATACTTTGAAACGGCCAACGTTACACGCATAGTCATTCATTTTCTTACAGCATGGTTCTGGCATGAGCCGAGAACTGATGCTAGCACAGCACGACGATAGTTATAGCGCGAGAACAGAACGACGACAAAGAGACAAGAAGGACACAAAGGACACGAGCGCTCGTGTCCTTTGTGTCCTTCTTGTCTTTTTTGTCGTTCTGTTTTCACGCTAAAGCTATCATCATGTCATACCAACTAGCCCAAACTGCCACACTGCTAGCACAGCGTTTGAGAAGGCAGTGGTCAGGGGAATCCAGTTTTCCTATCGCGTTGCTCTTTTGAGGGTGGGGCTCAAGCGTTCTCCAAGCTGTTTCTTTTTAAATGCAGCCGACCTCGTGAAATGTTCGTCAGACTGCAGACTGAAATCTCTTGTTTTTCGCGCCCAATAATTTGGCCAAAAGCACCTCATTAATTTATTGTTTTCTTAAGAAACAATATAGGCAGAGCGGCTCGTCTTACCACACCCCGACTGGTGAAGAATATGTCTTTAGAATAGCACTAAGCCTGCTTATGAAAGTGTGCAGGTGCCTACATGCGTTACTGCCACGTGCATGTGCAGCGCAGGGAACCGGCGCAAGCTGTGCCTGTGCGTGTCGCTCATCGGAATGCCGAGGATGCTCCTGCTGGACGAGCCTTACTCCGGAATAGGAATCCTTTCGCGGAAGCGAATTGTCAACTACATCAGCTCCCTGCAGAGGCGCACGAAGATTTCTATTGTGCTATCCTCTCACAGGTAAGAGACTCGAGCTAACCCATACATGGCGAAATCGAGTAGACTAACCAACGAAAGTCAACATCTTTGAAAACGGAAGCGCTTTGCGCCAGCGTTCCGCGAATTTTTCGGACGTCGTTTTTTTCTCACAGATATGATGTCAGCAAAACGCGGGCGAAAATGTCACCGAAATTATTTTAAGTATTCTTTCCGATGAACTTAAGGTGAATAGAATTAACTTGTAAAGCTGGCGATGTTGCAAAATTCGGCCTCATCCCCAGCTTGCGCACAGAAAGGAAATAGTTCACGGCGTCCTTTATGTATACACCTGACCCTACAGAAAAGCGGAAGCAATCTTTTTCTTCTCAGTCGAATAATTAAACCAGTCCCACCGCCCGCCAAGGGATTAGCGCACTAAACGCAGTTATGCACTGCCTCCAAGATGGGAGCGACCCACCTGGTTTAACACTGCCTCCATGATTGACCAACCTTTGCCCAAACGATGATGTCATGCAATGACGGCACCATTCGACGACCTAGTTAAGTCATAATGACAAAATGTGGTTGATCTCGGACATTATGCTCGCCAAGGAACTTAGGTGGGAATGCATGGAGTTTCCTAAACTTAACCCTATGGGGGAATGTACCCATCACGTGTGACGTCATCGCGTGGTTATATTTTTGTAGGAATTATCTTGACACTGCCAACGCGGGACGCTGTTGAAGTTTCATGTTTGATGACGTATATGCCCTTTGCTTTACTAATAAATAAAAATATTTTGTTTTTCTGCGGCTAAGCTCTGCCTGCGGGTCTCTGTGGTTCAATATAGCGAGTGTTTTTAACAATGGACCACTAGACCTTTCTCTTCTTTTCTTTTTAAGGCCGTGCACAAACTTATTAATTGTAAACTGAAATGAAGTCCGAAAATTCATTTTACCTACGATGCGAAAAACAATGACGAGACACCACACTTGCTGTCGAAGCTTCAGGGAAGCATTTCGTGTTGGCGGACTAAATCAATCTGTTAAAAACTCGCTAAGTATATAACGAAGGGCACAAATAGAACTGCACACATGGAGTAATTGCCAGCACGGAGCTGCCCTCACAAAACACTGCGAAGAGGATTAAGCCATGGCTGAGGCTTATTCGCTGCCACCCGCAAGGTGGCGGTAACACGCCCTACTTAGACGCACAGGGCATCGAAGCCATAGACGACACGAAGGTCACCTCGTTTACTGTAGCACCCAGGCTTAGTAACTGTGCGAGTGGTTAGGCTGTTTTCATATGACAGTCTAATTTGCTGTTATTTCATTCACTGATTCCCCCTTGTGGCGAAACTGGGACTTTTCTGTATATTTACGATGCAATATTCTTGTTTCGCTGTAATGAATAATGGGCTCTGAACTCTGTCATCTGTAGCCTCGCAGATGTGGAGTTTCTATGCAATCGCATTGCCATTCTCGGAGACGGAAGGCTGCAGTGCCTGGGTTCGCTGGCACACCTGAAACGAAAGTTCGGCCAGGGCTACACTATCACCGTGAAAACATACCCGGACCGCAAACAAGACATCTTGTATCAGCGAGATGTGGCCCGGGAAGTCAGGAAGAATTTCCAAGACGTGGAGCTTATGCACAGCTACGAGGCAAGTTTCGTTAAAACAACGTCTAGAGTTACCCTCTCAAGCTCCTAGTCATTTATGTCAGGATTGCTAGACACTAAGGAGCCCCACTTCTGATTACATGTGGACTCAAGTCAACTGTACAAGGAGAACTTGCCGCCATTTCATTGTGATTGTGGTGACCAGGATGAGAGCATAAAATTGGTAAACCTAATTCGTTGTGGCTATGCCACCGTCAAGATAAGGTTCCGCTTGACATTCTCTATGAGTACAAAAAATATGTGCGTGGAACTCTTGCAGAGCTTCGTAGCAAGGTAGTCAAGGATGAAACTTAAGGACCACAAACTACCCTATTACGCTTGTACAGCCGTCAGCACCTTTAATCTGAACGCTCCGACGCGTGGTCTCGACTCGCTTGGAAGTCCACGTCACCAAGCGTTGAAAGTGATATGCTTCCTGTAGTTAAGGATAGATGCAGCGCGCGTCTGTTTCACTAGTAAATTTCTGTTTCCAGTCTGCCTGGCCAGCGGGTCGAATGCACTCACTTAGCATCCAGTTTTTGCCACATATCGCTCGTGGCCACGCTATCACGTGCCCATGGCGTTCTTTCCTGCACGAAAAGTGCGTGATCTGTCGCACGCAATGGTTCATTGTCGAGATAAATATAAGACAACAAATGCCATGGGTGCACGCGATAACAGAGACACGAGCAAAACGTGGCGAAAACGGGATGCGAAGTGAATGCATTCGACCCGCTGGTCAGGCAGACTGGAAACGGCAATGTAATAGTGAGCTTAATTGATTTACACGTCCCGGACGGCTGCGTACGGCCCTGGACGCCGGCGCCGCATTCGTTTTTCTTGGGGACGAACTGGAATCTCCACCCACTGGTCCGGGATCGCTCGGGCGCATGTTCGCTTTTTCGCGTGCCTGGCGGCCTGCGGGCGGCCCGGGACCGTGCGAATGTTTTCTTTCAGGCAGCTGGCAGCCGACAGCGCTGGACGCATGCCAGTGCGGCCACCTTAAGTTAGACACAGAAATGTTTGACGTGCTCTTGCTCTCTCTTTGCTTTGCTGTCCGCTTCTTGCATGTTTCTGGATTTCGCATTTTGTGCGCACACAGTTCTTGTCATCGGTGTTCTGAGGCACGTCGAGGATGTGCGTATTCTCGAAAGTCGGGCAAACATGCGTTATACTCGCTAATAGAAACAGCGGTAGAACTACTGGACTGGTCTATGGTGCGCACGTGCTCGAGTAGTTCACTTACAGTAAGTTGCATCACAGCAGAAATAGGTATTATTCACTACCTAACTGCTGCTTAGGTTGGAATTGGGTCGGCGTTGTGGCTTGTGTGACAGCTATGGAGGGAGCAGACGGCATAGCCTGACATAGCAGATGCCACAGCGGATGCAGCCAGCATGAAGCGCGCAGATGGCCCGAGGCCGATCAGGCCCGTTCGGGACTTTAAGATCACGTGCTTGTGACGTAGCCGCCTATGAGCCGAGGCGTCTGCGGGCCGCTGGCGAGTGATCCGGGACTTGGTAAATCGATGAAGCTCAGTGAAACATACGCGCGCTACATCTATCCTTAACTGCAGCAAACATATTGATAAGAAGTATCACTACCAGGAAAAACAAGGGAAGCGCGGGTAGAGAATAAAGACAACGTTGCCTCCACTGCGATCCCTCTGAGTGGGTACGAGCCATGGCGGTGGAGATCATCATCATTATACTGTGATCGCGGACTCAGGGCCCATTAAAAACCCCCAATAATTTACCTCGCCTTGTGTAACAATTTGGTGGAGGTGCTGGGTAGGACGAACCCAAAGACGGGAGCTTCACTACCAGGACTTCGTCGCAGCCGCCGCCTCGCCGGACTTCCACCTTCACCGATCGTAATGGCCCAAGAGCAGCCATCCAACGCTTCGAGGCCAACTCTGATGGGTTTCGCGCCGTACTACAGAGTGCCACCAAACTTCGGTGGAACCTCAGGAGAAGACGTCGACGTGTGGCTCAAGAACTACAAGCGGGTGAGCAGAAGCAATGGCTGAGACTCGAACGAACAGCTCAATCACGTCGTATTCTCGTTAACTGACACCGCCCTCATGTGGTACGAGAACCACGAGGACATGTTCACTACTTGGGAACGTTTTGTTGAAGAAGTGCAGAAGTGTTTTGGTGATTCAGATGCAAAGAAGAAACGCGCGGAGCAGACATTGTCTCAGAGGGCACAGCTTCCAGGAGAAACATGTACGACATACATTGAAGAAATATTGAAGCTGTGCAAGATCGTGAATGGGAGGATGTCTGAAGAAGACAAGGATGGACACGTTCTCAAGGGTATAGCCGAAGACGTGTATAATTTCTTAATTGGGAAAGACTGCTTGAACTCCGTGTCTGACGTGATGAGCGCATTGTCGTACCTTTGATTCCCTCAAGATGCGACGAATTTCTCCTAAATTCGGCCGTCTGTCCAACGTCCCCACTGTTGCTAGTGTTGAAACAGTGCCGCCTGATTGATTGTTATGTGGGGTTTAACGTCCCAAAACCACCATATGATTATGAGAGACGCCGTAGTGGAGGGCTCCGGAGATTTCGACCACCTGGGGTTCTTTAACGTGCACCCAAATCTGAGCACACGGGCCTACAACATTTCCGCCTCCATCGGAAATGCAGCCGCCGCAGCCGAGATTCGAACCCGCGACCTGCGGGTCAGCAGCCGAGTACCTTAGCCACTAGACCAACGCGGCGGGGCAACAGTGCCGCCTAACGAGCTTGCTTTGACCATACGGCAGATTGTCAGAGAAGAGCTGCTTCGATCTCAGCAGACCTATCATCGCCCCAGCGATTTTCAGGATGTGTACGTAAACGAACCAGAACGTGTGCGGACTCCTCTTTCTCTTCCACCATGGCAACCATCGATCAACGCTGCAGACGCTTATGAATATCAAGGCACACGGCAGGCTGGATTCTCCCGTCATCCAACTCCCAACTACGAACGAAGTTTTCGCCCGCCTGTTTACCCAACATCGCTTGCCTACAGTGCCCCTGAAGGGCGGCACCACTATCCCATGCCACCGAGAGGAGTCGTTACTCTGGGCAGCCACGTGCCCCTCGACCGATTCCGGTATGCTACAACTGTGGCGTCCCGGGTCATATCGCACGTTTTTGTGACCACCGCCCATATCAGCGACAGTCTTGGCCTTTGTATCCCCAACATTTCGACTATCCGCACTCCACGTCACGGAAACCACGCGCACCTACCGGGTCACGCTACCCCTCGCCGGCCTCTGATCGAAGTTGGACGCCACCTCCAGCTCCCCGTGCTCCACGATCACCGTCGCCACGGCGACGCGCACGTACACCGCCACCGGAAAACTAGTCGGTGCGGCCAGTGGGGGTGAAGCCGCAAGATCACAAGTGCTATCTACAGATATACCCCCGTCAGCGTTTATGTAGAAGAACAAAGTTCGTGTAGTTAGATGGAGTGGCTACTATGGCACTTGTGGATACAGGCGAAACAGTCTTGGTGATGAGTGTAAATTTTAAGAACCTGCTAGGACCAAAAGTGATGTTTTGCCTGAACCGTGGGGTGACATTTCGTGGTGTAAGTGGTGACGTGTTGTGTCCGGTGGGATATTGTACTGTGGACGTCTGGCTGTGTGGCAAGGTGTTTTGCACAGAATTCGCGGTTATTCCGCGGTCTACACATGACGTTATCTTGGGTATTGACTTCTTGTGTGAGTGTGGGGCAACTGTAGACTGCAGAAGTGGACATCTTTCTATACACGGTACTTTCCCAACGGCGCTCTTCGAAAATTCTTGTCCGGAGGAATGCATCTTTTTCGTCTCCATGGATACAGTCGTTCCTGCATTTTCTGCTGTGTGTGTTCCTGTGACATGTTCCAGTAACAACTGTGGCACGTTTGACGCCACGCTCGAACCAATTCCCTCGGCATGCCTGAAAAAGAACATTCTCATTCCCCTTTGTATAGTGTCAGTCGTTGATGGACGGGCAGGTGTGTGGACTATGAACAGTTCCATGAAGCCTGCAATTCTGCCAGGCGGCGTGAAACTTGCAGTATTTAGACCCGAGTCATGTACGACACTGGTTGCGCTTGTTGATGCTACAAGCCAAAATGAACATCTAGGCTTAGAAGGTTCAGAAGATGCCCAATTGCTACAAATGGTCAGCAAGTCACTTGACCAAAGCGAACGTCATACCCTGCTCGACGTTCTCTCTAAGCACTCGAAAGTGTTCGATTTTTCTAAACACAGCCAAAGGCTCTTAATCCCAGCGTCCCGGATACGTCATCAGATCCACACCGAATCGGCGCATCCCGTTAGGCAGAAACCTTACCGAGTGGCATCATCGGAGCGCAAGATCATCAACGAGCAAGTTCAAGAGATGCTGGAAAAGGGAATAATACAGGAATCGGCGAGTCCGTGGGCTGCTCCCGTCATTCTAGTGAGGAAGAAGGATGGTACGTGGAGATTTTGCGTTGACTTCCGCCGACTGAATTCTGTTACCAAGAAAGACGTCTATCCACTGCCGCGCATCGATGACGCTCTAGACTGCCAGCATTCCGCATCCTACTTTTCATCTGTCGACCTGAGATCAGGTTACTGGTAAATTCCGATGCACGCAGCTGACAAAGAAAAGACGGCATTTGTTACGACCGACGGACTTTACGAGTTCAGCGTTGTGCCATTCGGATTATGTAATGCTCCTGCGACATTCTAAAGATTTATGGACTGTATATTGCGTGGTTGAAAATGGCATATATGTATGTGTTACCTTGATGATGTCGTAATTTTTGGCCGTACGTTTGAGGAGCACAACACTCGCCTAGACCTCGTGCTCAGCTGCATTGAAAAAGCTGGCCTTGTATTGAATTCAAAAAAGTGCCACTTTGGCGAGCGACAGACATTGGTGTTAGGACATCTCGTCGACAAAGATGGCATTAGACCTGACCCGCAAAAGACAGCGGCCGTTGAATCATTCGAGCGTCCTAAATCTGTGAAACAACTGCGTAGCTTCATTGGGCTCTGCTCGTATTTCCGCCGGTTCGTACCCAAGTTTGCGGATGTCGTTCACCCCCTGATGAGCCTTCTACGCAAGAACAGCCGGTTTCAGTGGACCTCCGAGTGCGATGCCGCTTTTCACAAGCTGAAGTGTTTGTTAACTTCGCAGCCAATACTTCGGCACTTCAATCCTTTGTCGCCCACGGAAATTCACACAGACGCAAGTGGCATCGGTATCGGTGCTGTTCTCGTTCAGCGTTCTGGCAAGAAGGAACACGTTGTGGCGTACGCAAGTCGTTCTTTAAGCAGGCCTGAACGCAACTACACAGTGACCGAACAGGAACGCCTAGCGGTAGTCTTGGCCGTGCAACGGTTTCGCTCATACATCTATGGTCGCCCGTTCACTATCGTCACAGATCACCATTCTCTGTGTTGGCTGGTCAACCTTCGTGACCCATCCGGCCGCCTCGCACGATGGGCCATTCGTTTGCAAGAACATGTCTTCACCATTTCATACAAGACCGGCCGTCTACACGCTGATGCGGATTGCCTCTCCAGAATGCCGCTACCATCGACAGATTGTGAAGGCGATAACTTTGACCACCTTATCGCTTCGCTGTCGTCTGGCTTTCCCGATGCCGTGACTTTTGCCGCTGAGCAGCGTAATTACCCAAGCTTGAAAGCTCTCTTTCCTGGAGCGAGAAATTCATTAAGCGAAGGCCGATTCTGCGTACAAAATGGTCTTCTTTACCAGAGAAACTTCTCCACGACGGGCGCCCGCTTTCTGCTAGTTGTTCCTGCGTCTCTCCAAACGTCTGTTCTGCGTCTCACGCATGATGACCCCACCTCTGGCCATCTAGGCACCGCACGAACACTTAGTCGCACGAAAGAGCGGTTCTATTGGCCGAAAATGAGCAAGACAATTAAGAACTACGTGGCCAGCTGTATGCAGTGCCAGAGCCACAAGCGGCCCTCCTCGGGTCCAGTTGGTCACCTGCAACCTGTAAAGCCCCCCGGTTCCCCTTTTGATAAGGTCGGCATCGATCTGATGGGACCATTTTCACGCTCCTCAAAAGGTAACCGGTGGAAAATTGTATGCGCCGACTACCTGACGTGGTACTGCGAGACGGCTGCCTTATGCTCCGCCACTGCAGTCCAGGTTTCGGAGCTCCTGTCGAATTCGGTCATCCTCCGACACTGACCTCTTCGCGTGATAATAAGTGACCGTGGACGACAATTTACCGCTGATATTGTCGAATAATTACTTCATTTGTGTGCTTCCAAGTTCCGACACTCAACTGCGTATCATCCACAAACTAACGGCCTCACCGAGCGCACAAACCGAACGTTGATCAACATGTTGTCAATGTACGTCGCCTCCAACCACAAAAACTGGGATGAAGTTTTACCATTCGTCACGTACGCCTTCAACACGTCGAAACACGAAACGACAGGCTACAGCCCTTTCTATCTGCTCTACGCTCGCTCACCTCGACATACGCTGGACATTATCTTTCCTTTTGTCGTCCATGACGATTTAACAATTGCGGAAACTTTGTGTCGTGCGGAAGAGACACGTCGACTTGCCTGCCTACGTACACTGGCAGCGCAAGAGTCCTCCAAAACTCGCTACGACAGTCAACACAGGCATGTAACCTATGCCCCCGGTGATCTAGTGTGGGTGTGGATCCCAATGCGCAGACGTGGCTTGAGCCAAAAGCTACTGGCACACTACGCCGGTCCTTTCGTGATACTTCATCGTTTCAGCGAGGTCAACTATGAAATTGCACGTGTCACCACTAGTGGCCGACGTTCAAGCAAGACAGAGGTGACGCATGTTGCCCGCCTGAAGCCGTTTACACGGAGGATGCAAGAATGACTCGCCCAGAGGGCTTCGTCTGTGACCGGAGGAATGATAAGAAGTATCACTACCAGAAAAAACAAGGGAAGCGCGGGTAGAGAATGAAGACAACGTTGCCTCCACTGCGATCCCTCTGAGTGAGTACGAGCCATGGCGGTGGAGATCATCATCATTATACGGTGATCGCGGACTCAGGGCCCATTTAAAACCCCCAATAATTCACCTCGCCTTGTGTAACAATATCATTTTCAGCGCTTGGTGGTGTTGACCTCAATCCAAGCAAGCTGAGGACACGCGCCGGAGTGTTCAAGGTAAAGGTGCTGACAGCTGTACATGCGTTCATGCAGAAAAGCTGGAGAACGCTGTATAGCTTCGCTTCAAGCACACTTCTAGAGAGAAATACTTGAAGGTGTATGACTGATTGTTCCAAGGAATCCTAGAATGCCTACAGCAAATTCTGCTTCAAAGTGCCTTCTATGACATATTTTTTTCGATTTAAATTTTCCGAAATACCTGATAATAGGTCCGCAAGGTTGCACGCGTACCGGCGCAGCTGTGTACTTCTTAATTGTGCACGTTTTGACCCCTGGTGCAATTTTAAGATTCTGCCACGCATTACAAAATGCTTCTAACGAAAATGCGTTGTTTTATATTTCGTATTCTTTAAAAACCATTTTGTCATGAAGGAGCACTTTTAAAGATTGTATGAATCAGATAATGCCACGTGATTGTGACGTTGGAGAAAACAATTATTGTTGAACTTGCGCCAAGAAAAATATTGATACTGAATGCGTAACGGCGCGAAACCTCATCGATCGTCAAGTGATCTAATTAGCTCTAAGGCGTACAGTGAAGTAATAGAGAAGCAGAGGAAGGGTAGCAGGATCACTTTGTTGCGGCGGCAACGGAGGAAGTGAAGGAGCTGATGGCAGACGCCTGGTATGCAATCGATGTTAGCGACATTTCATATACACAAATGCCAGAAGGGGGCACGCAACCCATAACATTGAGTAGCGTTTACACTGCTGCGCACCATGTGTCATGACAACCGAGGTTACTGGTCGACATCAATGTCACTGGTTCGACATCAATGTTGGGTCTGGGATTGACGTGTGCTCGCGAGGAAATCTCGGCGGCGTTAGGCCTTCGACACGGTGCACAACCATAATGTATTTTGTATTCACAAGCATAAATGCCTGTAAAGCAGGTCGGCATTCATGCTTGTAACCTGAAATATTCCCGGAGCATTGTTGGTGGCTGCATTAATCCTAGGATAAACTCTATCATTAGCAATGTGCGCGTTTCTAAATAATTTGGGAACTTTCCGAGATATCTCGGCACAACCTGTGCTAGGAAATTGTTAGGCGTGTAACGAACGGGTCGTTGACACAAAATCAGAAACGGGAGCACTTTTGTGCCAATAGTATGGAACTTCAAAGAGCCGCATCGCTTCTTTTCTGGAGTGCAGGGACTGCTTGAGTTCCGGGTATCCCGGATTCAGATGCTCTGGAGCGAGATGTTCACCCGCATGGCAAGGATAAAGAAGCGCTTCAAGCTGCAAGACTTCTATATCACCGACACTTCACTAGAGCAAATCTTTCTCAGTGTGACGCGCAAGCAAGTGAGCGAGGCAGCCGCTGCAGCACTACGACGGACGAACAACCCATCTGCGACCTCTCTGGGTATATAACCAGGCTAAAGCTGAAGAGATAGATCCACGTGTTTCATTTATAGCCAGACCAAACGGCGAGCAGCATACGTGTACATACGTAATATCCTGCCAACAACAGTAATAAAAACGTATATGCGGCAGTTTTTAATGTGTACTTTTGACGTGTTGTTTCAGCGCATTGGCCGGGACCAGACCACTACAAAAAACAAGCGATATTTTTTGAGCGTAGACATCTACACTGATCTTCAAAGCTTACACCAGTGTTTAGATTCAGTCGTCACCCGGTAAAGTGTCTTTGCATCGTATCAAATGAGTTAATTGATAAATAATTTATAAACGTGTTTTTGATATCATGGTTTAGAAGTGCCAACTTACAAGCTTGTTTTTGTTTTTGATAGACGCAGTATTATTGAGAAATACGACAGGTCAATGAATGTAGAGGGTATCTTATAAGTTGTCACGTCAATGCGAATGGGAAGAAAGAAAAGTGGACAAAAAATTACTTGTCGTTGGAAGAGACCGAACCTACAACCTTGAAATAACGCGTTCGATGCTCTACCAATGAGCTACAACAGTGGCCTCCCCCCTCCCCCCTTCTACTTTGTGGTGTATATATGTAGAATACTGGTATCTCTGTGTGTTGGTTCTCATTGATATTGTAGTGAAGAATTCAGTGGCATATATTGCGATAACAAAGCACCCAAACTTGCGGCACGAGTGGTCCACTATTAGATAAAACACTACAAGGGGCACCGTTCATTTCCCGACCCTCGAACAGCGCGTCGATAAAAAAAATGTTCATGCATGGCCCAAGTCTGTCAAAAGGAGTGAAACTCTCGACCACCGGTGGTTTTTCGTAAACTTGAGCCACTGTGATTGATCAAGATTTAAATCCAAGTATGGCGGCTACGCTAGTGTTCCCCTTAACAGTACGCGTGATATCTGTACATAAACATTGGAGCACTGATGTAGAACTAACCTAGTTACTCGCATGTGCTCACTCGTAGGCTGGCTGCTTCGCAATATAAAGTTCATAAAAGTATTAGGTAGTGAGGTGGCAATGATCTGTATTTAAACGCAAAGTTACGTACACAATTGCGACACGACACAGTGGGCTCGAGTGATTGAAAGTGGAAGTAGTCGTGCTAACAGTAATATGTAAAGATGAGTCAATGTGTTTTAAATGTACGTTGTTATTCTTTCATTCTTATCTGAATTCTCTCTTTTAACAAGCATTGAACTTACATTTTCGTTATAAGTCAATATCTTTTAGGCAACAAAAGGAACAACGAAACGCTACCCCCATACATGCGTTTGAATCGACAGTTGAGCGTGTCGGTGCACGTAACATTATAGTGAGAAAGTGGAAAATATTCACCATCTCCCTGAAGGAAACCGTGATGGGATGCGAAGCAGCAGTGGTGCTCAAGGCGTTGACCCGGTTGAAACAGGCGTCGACGCGGGTGCTGGAAGAACGTCCGTCAATGCGTTTGTCCATCCATGCGTCCATCAGCCCGCTCGCACGTTCGTACACACGGACGAATGAACGCTTCACCCCACTCATTATCATTCACTCCATGCATATGCTGCGATTTTTTCATTTCGAGTGATATTGAGGACTTTGGTGGGAGTGGCGGTGGACAACTACGGAGCCAAAAATAGTCCATGGCGTGGTAACGGGTTTAGTTGTAAAAAGAAACGCGTTGCCACGCTGGCGCCTCTGTCAAAAGCAAATGGCCAGAAGCATCATAGCAGTTTTACATAATGTTCGACAAATATTCTAGAGCTCTTCTGGGGGAATTCCACCCACCCCTTTCGTATTCAACAGAGAAACATCCGACATATGTAGTAGCACTGCTATACTACGGTGTTATTATCAATCTCATCTGATTCAAAGCGCTCTGGGTTTCATGATATATGGATGTCTTACAGTGGCAGCTCAAAAGAACAAAGGCAAGTCAGAAACACAACATCACCGTTTTTAGTGCCTTCTGTGTTCATGTTTCATGATATATGGATGTCTCACAGTGGCAGCTCAAATGAACGAAGGCAAGTCAGAAACGCAACATCACTGTTTTTAGTGCCTTTTGTGTTCATTTTTAAATGCGCAGCAGCTTTTTGACCCACGCGCGCCATGCCGTACGTACGTGCGTCTGTACGAACGTGCCGCGACGCGTTCTCCTCGCCACAGATGTTGGAGCTCTGCCAAGCGGGTTAAGCCGCAGCTGCACATTCACATCACGCTCCCCTCACACGCTTCTGTTGCAGATGCAGCCTGACGTCACTCTCACCGTCACACGCAGCACGCTCGCCCCAGCACACGCACCTGTCGGCTTCTCCGCCCACTCCCAACACACTTCTTTGTCGCTGCACTTTCTCCACCAACCGCAACGCTCGACTCTGTTCAATACTTTTTTTAAAGTAAAAGCTTGTTTTATTTAAATGTGAATCATTTCTTAGCGAACTTCGGCGATATTGAGGGTATCTATCTATCTATCTATCTATCTATCTATCTATCTATCTATCTATCTATCTATCTATCTATCTATCTATCTATCTATCTATCTATCTATCTATCTATCTATCTATCTATCTATCTATCTATCTATCTATCTATCTATCCGCCTACGGCTTTTAGCTCTCCTGGCCGTTCCGTTAGTGCTATAAATACCGAATTTGGCATGGCATAACATGACTGTATGGCGAGTATAACTGGCTAGTCATACCATGACTGTCATGTCAAGTCATGAATGTCATGATTTACATTTCATGGTCTTGTTGCTCTTGCGGTGGTTTTGTTCACATGACATGTTGCAAAATTGGCATGATATGAAATGACTGCACTGCGAACACAAGTGACAGACGCTAACGTAGAAATCATGACATGCATGTCATGTAAACCTTGTAAGTCATGATTCATGACTTCGCTCCATGATCATGGTATACTTGCTGTCGTTTCCCTATTCACATACACCACATTTGGTATTACGTGACGTGAATGGACGACGAAGGTATATGACTGGTGCAAACATGATAAACATGAGACGCATGTCATGTAACAAGACTACATGCCACACTCGTTTATGTGCTCGCGGTCGTTTCGCTAGCTTCACATGCACCAATGGGTTATTACGGTATGCTCCTAGCCCGCTCACGGCCATTTGGCTAGCACTACATATACCAAGTTTGGTATTACGGTACGTTAATGGACGACGAAGGTATGTGACACGTCCAAACATGATAATCATGAGACGTGTGTCATGTAAAAACATGATTCGTGCCACACTCAAGACGCCAAAAGACTTCTACGTGACCCGGCGCGCGTGCACGTCGGCGTTCGTTTCGTCGCGTCACGCCAGGCGCCGATTAGCATGGCATATGCTCGCAGGCGCACGGCGCGCTGCGTTGCTTTGACGCATGCGCGTTTGAGCGCGCCTGGCGTCCTTCATTCACGAAGCTAAACAGACGCGGTGCTGTTTGGGTACGTCGTTCCAGGCGTCCGTGGTCGGACTAAAGAGTTCTCGCGTTTTGCTAGAGTAGCGTCCCTGCGCGCAGCGTGCGCGCGCGTCAATGTTACGTCTGCGCGCCGCCGTTTCGCAAGCTTTACATATACCAAGTTTGGTATTACGGTACGTCATGCAAACATGGTAATCATGAGATGCGTGTCATTTAAGAACATGACTACACGCTACGCTCATGATGCGCTCGCTGCCATTTCGTTAGCTTCACATGTACCGAATTTGGTATTACGTTACGTCAACGGATGACATGTAAATAACACGTCCATCATGATAATCATGACATGCATGTCATGTAACAACATGAGTACATGCCACACGCATGATGTGCTCGCAGCCGTTTCGCTGGGTTCGTTTACGCCAAATTTGGTATTACGTCACTTGAGTGTGGCGAAGGTATGTCACTGGTATAAACATGATAATCATGAGACGTGTGTCATGTAAAAACATGATTCGTGCCACACTCAAGACGCCAAAAGACTTCTACGTGACCCGGCGCGCGTGCACGTCGGCGTTCGGTTCGTCGCGTCACGCCCAGGCGCCGATTAGCATGGCATAGTGCTCGCAGGCGCACGGCCGCGCTGCGTTGCTTTGACGCATGCGCGTTTGAGCGCGCCTGGCGTCCTTCATTCACGAAGCTAAACAGACGCGGTGCTGTTTGGGTAACGTCGTTCCAGGCGTCCGTGGTCGGACTAAAGAGTTCTCGCGTTTTGCTAGAGTAGCGTCCTGCGCGCAGCGTGCCGCGCGCGTCACATGTTACGTCTGCGCGCCGCCGTTCGCAAGCTTTACATATACCAAGTTTGGTATTACGGTTACGTTAATGGACGACCGAAGGTATGTGACACGTCCAAACATGATAATCATGATATTCGTGCCATGTAAAACTTGACTATATGCTATGCTCTAGCCCGCTCACGGGCATTTGGCTAGCACTACATATACCAAGTTTGGTATCAAGGAACGTGCATAGATTGACGAAAATAATGGCCGTACAAATGTGATAATCACTGACATGAAGGTCATGTACGGAATAATTTACCTCCGTTTTGTAATGCTGTGCTAACTTTAAAGTGACATATCAACCTTCCTGCTCTGTGCTTTGCAAATCAGCAATTCCACCTGTACGTGGGATCTGCCAATTCTTTTCTTTTTACGCAGTTTCATGCTAATAGGTGTCACTGAAGATGAACCTTTACATTCAACTACTTCTAAAAATATACATTTCATTTTCTGGCTAAACCGATTCCTTAGACGAAAGGATCAACCGTGTTTTTTTTAATTAAGGAAATGGTATACACGTGAGAGGGAAAATTGGGGTATACCCTTATCTACATCTTCAAGTGTGGATTCGATAGCAATATCTTGTCCCTAGTGCGTGCCTCAACGACTTAGTGCGTACTTCAATTGCTTGATGTTACACAAAAAGTTCAAATTGTAGATTGCCGCAATGTAAGTCATAATGGTGAAAGTTGCTTGTGTCTAGGAAGCATTCACAGATGG